ACAAAAAATAATGAAATTACCAAACAAACGTGACTTTAGAGTCTCTTAAAAATTGGTGTTCCCTATTAGAAATGAAAAGGGTAATAATTCCTTTTCCAAACCTATTGGGCAGTTTAGCATATTAAGGGCTTAGTTCATTCAAGAAAGCTTCATAGCTTGAAGGGAATTAAAAAAATGTATATTTTTCTATCTAGACTCACAAATGAAACATAATTTTTTTTTTCTAAAATGCATGATTTTTTTTTAAAAAAAAAACCGAAGATAATTTACGTTCTCTTCAATCTCCAAGTGTAGCACTTTAATAAATCTCATGACTAATTGTGATGGATTCAAGATTTTGGAAAAGTCATTTTGGAATGGAAGAAAAAGGCTCAATTTTTCAAAATCAATCTTTTTAATGGATTTCAAATTTTCAGATCATTAACATTCTTGAATCTTTCATACTGGCTTCTCTTACTTTGTTAGGCATTAGGATTTGCTACCAAGTTTTGCTGTAAATTCTCCCTTTTTATGGTTTTCACCCTAGAACAATATTTTTTTTCGATTGCTTATTCTACTAGGCACTTAAAAAATCAAATTTCATCCAAAATAGGTTGACAGTTCAAATGGGTAGTTGGATAATAAAGGGAGACAAAGGTTTCACAAGTTTTTAGGGTTGTTCCTAAAAGAGAAACTCCTCAATTTAAGCATCTATATTTGATCCAATATGAACTTTTCTAAGAACGTAAAGCAAGGCAAGGTTTGGGGTTTTAAAAAAAAAAGATAGATAGGCCCAAAATAAGTGTTTCAAGGTGATTAAACCACAAATCATTCTTTCCCATTTGAAGGATTCACTCGAGGGTATTTATTCTTTCATTTTTTTTATACTTTTCACTCAATTATTTTATTTTTTTCTTTTTACTTTCTTTTTCTTCTCTTTTTTGTTCTTTTCTTCTTTCTTTCACTTTTTTTTCTTGTTTTACTTCCTTTTTCTTTAAATGCATTCAAAACTTTTGGAAATTTTTTATTAGACATATGCCTTCAACATGTAAAGTTTCTTCTTAAACTTCACCATACTTAACCGCTTAAGTCATCCATTTTGCCCCCAATATGAATGGTGATATTTGGTTATGGTTCATTTAGAAAAATTTTTATCATGTTTAAAAAGGCAACAAGGATAAATTTCTATATTTGTGAAAAGATGATAAAAGATGAGCATTTATCATCTCAAGCATAGTTACTTAAATTTGAAGAATAATTCCTTTTTCAAAAAAAGGTTTGAAGAAATGTTTTTCAAAATTTTCTTTTCTTAGGATTTTTTTCTAGTATTTCTAAACTTTTTTTTCACTTTTTGGTTTTCTCTTCATGGTTTCTTCATAATCGTATAGTGATCTTTTATTTTTTAGACTCATCTAAATGCTTCAAGTGCATGATGTCACAATAAATTTTTTTTCAATTTTTTTCTTTCTTTTTGTTGTTTTTGTTTCCACCTTGCTAAGATCATAATTCGGGAAAGATGTCCTGTTTTGATAAACCACCATTAATGAAGATTAATGTGATAAAAGGATCATGTGTAATAAACTCGTTTATGATGTCAAATAGTTCACATCACTCTACAAAAAGAAAAAGATTCATAACTCAAGTTGTCTTAGTAGTAGTAAAGTCTTGCTTTGTGGTTAATATGCCATAAAATATTGGACAAGGACAATTCAAGGTGAAAAACTAAAAAGTTGCTATGTTTGAAGTCAAATGGCTTCTATTTTAGTAATTTTTGAAACTATAGCATAGCCTTGACATATATCAAAGTACCTACATATAGAATCTTTGAAGAGGAGTCATGATTACTTAGTTTTCAAGAAATCTAAAAATTTCAAATTGACCATTCCATTCTTCATCATCGAGGAAAAGATTATCACTTGTTGTTTGCTATGGTCAAGTGAAGATTCAGAATTTAAGTGTACACCCTTTGAAATATTAAGATTCTTGAATGATTTTATAGTTCATGGCAAGAGAATGTTTAAAAGGAAAAACATAAGGGTATTTATTGGGACTAATCATTCTTAATAATAATAATAATAAATTCTTTCGAGACTGTTTTCATTTTTATTACAAAAGATTTTTTTATTTTTTTAATTTTTTCTTCTTTTTCCCTTTTTTTCCTTTTTTTTTCTTCGAAAACTCCTTTTTATGGTTTTGAAAATCTAAATATGTGGGACTTTATTAATATAGAAAAAAAATTTCCTTTTTTATTTTGTTCCTTATAAGAAAAATCACAAAAATCTAAAACTTAAAAAAAATTCAATCAATATTCATAAATTCATAAGACAACATGATGTACCATGCTTAATCATGCAATGTAAACGCTACAGCTCAATCGAAAATTCATGTATTCAATAATATTCTAGGCCGCTTGATTTCTCCAACACTGGGCATATTCCTTGAAAGATTCATCAAACTTCATTTTCATGCTTTGAAGTGTCGCGACATATCGGGACCTAGGAGTGGATGACCCAAAAGCTGGACAAATGGAGAATTGAAAAATGAAGGCTAAAAACATTTTCGATGAAAATCAAAACAAGAAGTCACTGACAATCTTTTTAAGGTGTAATTGATCATTCAAAAGTTTTATCTTTTTAATAAAGCATTTAAAAAAGAGGGTTTAAAGTTTTATAAAAAGAACAAATTTATAATATGTGAAATCAGAATTTAAATTCGAAAATAGGTTATGCTAAGGGAATGATTGGCACCACCATAATACTCATTGAAAATGATACCAATTGATTGCATGTTCTCCTTTAATTTTGGTAAAAATGGTCCTATTTTTCTTAATGTTTAAAATTAATTTCCTTTTTTTCAAAAATAAAAACAAATCAAAATTTAAAAAAACAAAAATATTTTTGGATCAAGATGAAAACACCTTAAATATTGAAACACCTCTTTCACTTTCTTATAATTAGGTAGAATTTCAAAATATTTCTAATTTAAAAGTTTTCAAATTACCCAACTAAAATCGAGATAATATCTCACATAAATAATAATCATCGAGAGTTTCCTATAGTTAAGTTAGATCTCAATAACTATTTTAGGTTAAGATAATATCTTATTTAAAACAATTTTCTTTTGAAAACTCATTCTTAAAAAAAAAAAAAAAACTTTGCATGGTATGCATGAGCATAATATATAATGAATATATGGTATAATGAAATACAAATGCAGGATTGGTTTGGGGGTTAGTTTGGCTTTTTACGGTGGTTAAGGTTTGGAAGGTGTTTTAAAGTTTAGAAAGTGGTTTAGGGTTTAAGGTTTGAGGTTTAGGATTTGTGAGTTTGAAGTTTCATAAAATTATGCATATGATAAAAGCAAATTACAAAAATACCATTAATGAATGCATGACAAAAACATGTAAAAAAAAAAACCAATTACAAACATACAGATATACAAAACTAAATTACAAACAAGTTTTGTATGAAAATTCAAGAGAAAAATAGATCAAACATAACAAACTTTTGAAATTGATTTGAATGTTCCACTATTTTTTTCTTTAAAAATCCAACAAAACAAACACAAAAAAATCATTAAAACCAAACATTAAACACCATTTTTTTCATTGAAAATTTGATTCAACAACCTTAGAAACATGAAAATCATAACAAAAACATAATCAAATACATGAATCAAAGCCAAATTAGCTACCAAATGAAGAATCAAGATTCGGTTAACATAAATACACCCCTTGGCCAAAAGTTTCTATGACACCTCCACAAATGGTCATCACCTCATCCAAGTAGAACATGCATGAAACATTCATAAAACCATGCTAGAATAACTTTCTAATCATGTAAAGACATTTGATAAACACGTGATAAACAAATAAATTCAAAAATACCATGAAACTATGAACACAAGCCAAACATTACACAGCTTACCAAAACCTGCATCAAATGTACATTAAACACAAAACAAAAATCAAAAACTTCCGTATGATTTAAAGCAAGAAAACATTCAAAGAAAGCCAAGGGAGAGAATTCTTGACAGAACCTTCAAATTGGTTTCAATGGTGGATGTGTTCTTTGTTACTTGATTCTTGTGATTTCAATCTCAACTATGGTTTAGTTGGATAAACTTTAAACCAAGTTTGAATAAAAAAAAGGATGAGGAAACTATAAAATTTTCAAGTAAACAGAAAATTAATAAGAAAATGTTATGGAAATGATGAAGATGCAAGAAAAGAAAACAGGAATTCTACCTCCTCCAAGCTTTCTTCAATTTTTTTCTTTCTTAATTTTTTACTCATTTTCTTTTCACATTTTTTCTTTATTTTTGTCCCCTGTTTTTCTTTGTTTTTCCCAACCTCTCTCCTCTGTTTCTTCTGTGAATCCCAGCCAAGAAGATGATACAAAAAAATCTCATGCAATTCCATGCTAACCCTTGGATTAAAATATTGTCTTTGATAGTATATGAATAACACGTGACATTCATAACTAATAATTAAAACTATAACTTTTTTGTATTTAAATTGATTCTATTATTTTTATTCTTTTTACCTTAAAAACCATTAAAATCAATATTTTTAACAAATAAAAAAGTTTAAGATACAAACCTATTTTTTTTCTTAAATAGCATTTAATTAATGTGAATATTTTAATAGAGAATCATTTTGTGCAAAAGGAGATCATAGTTTAAAGATAGAAAAAAAAATTATAAGTGTTAGAATTTGAATTTTAAATCTGCTGGATGTTACTTTTAAAGATAAAAACAGGTACCAACTAAATTAAACTTGAATTTACAAAATATATAAGTTATGTTCAACTTTATATTGTTTTGTTTATTTTATTGATTTTTACCATGAATGTAATATATATGAAAGTTATTTACTAGTAATTGCAATTTCATAAAAAGGAAAAAAATTTTGGGCAACAACAGAAAACATATAAACTAAAACATAAATAGTTTTATTGGAAGCTAGTTTTATTAGATTGACATTGAGAATATTAATTTTCTCAATGGTTACAGTTACAGTTTCACCAGTCAAACTTTTTCTCCCAGTTTTGATCATTATTGCTAAAATAAATCCCATCTTCAGCTGCTTTCCAGAAGCAATTCCCTGTACCTTTACATGTATGAGTTTCTTCCCCGTTCTTGAAAACACTGATATTAGGCAAAGACTTTGATCCCCAGTTGAAGTCACAAACAAAATGAGTCGTCTTAACAAAGTGAACGATGAACTTGAATAGAAATTCTTGGTTATTCCAAAGGGTATGGACTCCGAGATCGTCGTCGTTGGAATGGCAACTAATGATCAATGGCTTAGCATTGTTTGCAAAGCCATTGAGAATGTGAACCTTGTATCTGAAACGAAAAATCACTTTATCTACTGATTCTGCACCAGAAACTGGTGTTTGGAAAACGCAACATGCAAGCAAAAGCATGCAAAAGAAAGGAGCTAAACTACTACTGTAAGCCATGCTCAATTGCTTTGGTTGCAAATTAAATGAAAGTTCTGAATGTTTTTTTCTTTCTTGTGAGACAAAGAGGAGGGTTTATATGAATGAACTCAGAAATGGATAAAAAAAAAAAAAAAAAAAGGCTTTATATGGTAAGCCAGAATAATACTGGTTGGCAAAGAGACATATAACTCTTTATTTATGGATGGATAGGTAGAAATGTTAATGTATTAAATCTCTTTCTAGTTAAATGGAATATTTTTCTTATAATAAGTTGGTGTTAATTCAGTGGCCGTACCACGTACGGGAATAAGTGGTGTTAATTGGAAAATATATTTGGTCATTGTCCATTAAATTTCTCTTTTTTTTCCCATGTTGAGATGGATTTATTTATTTATTTTTTGGTTCGACCTTTGGGCATTTAACTCGAGTTCTTGAGCACGGAAATTATAACTTTCCATCCTATACGCATGAAGGCCTTGGTTATTATTTCGATTGAAATTTATTTTTTCATGACAAATTCTGTTCCCACTGAGGAGAATAAAGATGAGACAAACTGAAAAACTGCATCTATTTTAGTCAATCATGTTCATGTACATGAGATGGAAGACACAAGTAGAGGCTATAAAATCTGTAACAATAACTTTTATTGATCTATTTTAAGCATTCAAATAAAGAAGCAAATACCATGAGCGATAAGCATAACTAAGTATATCATATATACCACTATCTACAGCACTTTTACATCCTAATAAAGAAAGATACAGTTCACTCCAATTACCTACCAAGCGCTTGAGGAGAGACATTTACAGAAGGTGAAAACAAAGGCCCTGTCCCACCTTTCTTGTCAGCATCAGGAACACTGGAGTAGCAGTAGATGCAATTAGACATTTCCCAGCTCCAGTCCTGGTTTCTGGAAATGAACATTCGGGGCCATCTGTTTATCCTAACATAATGCTCCCTAATCTTTCCATCACCAACAACACTAGTCACAACAGAATAACAGCATTCATGTCCACCCCAGACCTTGTCACCAGGACCTGCAGTTTGGCTCCCATCCGGGTGGAAGTAGCGGCGCATGAGAGGACCAGTTCCCTTCCAATAGGGATCAAGATTTCGCCAATACTCTGGAGCAGCCTGAGAGCAAAATGAAAAACGGTTAGGTTTTAATAAGTAAGGACAGCGTCTATGGCTCATGTAAACTGCAGGATTTAAACATATGTAAATATGAGGTTCACAAATTAGCCAGGAGTTCTGTCAACTGAGAGATAGTTGTTTGGAGATAGCAAGAATTCGGTAAAGGGATTCCAAATTAGCACTTCCAACAAAATATCGTAAGAACTGAAGGAAGCATTGAGGAATCATATTTACATTCAACAACATTTTATGAAAGCAGTAGCATCAACAACGTGAAAGGAAATTCTCGCGATAACTTTAACTACTCAAAATTTCTACCGTTAATGAATTTCTGGAGTGTGCAAGATCAAACAGTTTTGACTCTCGCAGAAATACAATAAAGTAGCACATACCTTGTTAAAGTGAAACTCCCAGACATGATCACACAGATCATCCTTCATGATACGAGTCTGATAAAAGACTAATGAAATATAATCAGATCGTCCTTCATGATAAGAGATTGATAAAAGACTAACAAAATACAATGTGTCAATAGTGCCCAAATCATAATGGTTTAACCAGAGTAAGTCAATGTCCAAGCATGTATGCATATTTTTATGTGTGAAAGCAACCATGGTTGTTTGTACTTGAGAGGACGAGGTTTATTAACTCACACGTTCGCCGTCCATGACAGATATTGAATAAGCAGCCAGCTTGGATAGTCCCCGAACTTGGGATGCACGAGGTATGTGTGCCTTCCCATGCCACAATTCTTCACACTAAGAAGGCAGAGTAGATTAGTCATTTTGCCACATTTCCTTTAAATTAAAACTGCCGCATTTCATAATAGATAAAACCACAAACAGATATCATGTTGCTTCACCACCAGAAAAATCATGCCTAACTAGTGAAAGTAAAATTTCAATAATTACAGGAATAGGATTCAGATCATACTAACAGTAAACTCAATGAGAAATTGTGCAAGGCAAAACATGAGATACCAAAATCCAGTAAAATTCTGGCAGAGGCTTCCTCAAAAAGTCATGCTATGCAAAACTTCAAATAATGGATAAAAAACCATTATGGTAATGCTAAAAGGCAATTAAGCAAGTAAGCTTCATTTTTTGGCCAAAAAAAGTAAGCTTCATTTCAATTTTAGAATAAAATTAGCCAATGATAAATTAGACAAGGTAGACATTCATGTTATACACCGGTTTAGATAAGTTGTGAGCCAAAAAAGCTAAACTAAAGCAAATGATGGCATCTCAAGCCAGTGCAAACTCTTAGCATATCATAGTTATCAAGAACAAGAGTTACCAGCTAGCATGCTGTTAAAGTTTTCAATGGTTAATCCAAGGACATGAAGCCACATGTGGACCTATTTATCATCCTTAAATTGTCAAAGTCTCTCAACCTTCTCATCCTCAAGAAATCAACCCTCTAGGCTAGCTCTTACCTTCCCCTTCAGCATGTAATGTGGGTAAACTCTTACATTAGGTTTTGTGAAGTGTTAGCCAATAATACTCTCATTTTGTATTAAAAAAAATTAAAAAAAAAAATTAATAAAAAAAAAAAAAAAACCTGAAAGGTTATATACTTTGAATAAGGATAAAAGTGAAACACAGAACACAAGACAAAAGTCTTAATTGACTTTGATAAGCCTATTCACTGGTTGAAGACTTTAATCTACTACCTATGTATTTCTATTTTCAAAGATGTCTTCTACATTCACATTGCCTGAGAATAAACTTATTCACTTGTCAACAAGGGTAGACTACAATCATACAAAGAGAATTTGCTAGCATTCATTTTTGGCCGCTCTAGGTTAATTTTCTCATGCACAAATGATTGAGATTGCTTGAATGTCTTAAATAACCAATTAGCATACTTAATTTGATTCTATTTCACCACTTCCTTAAGCACAGTCTCCATCCATTCCATAGCTCTCTAATTACATGTGAACAACACTCATAATTAGGTCATACACATGTTATGGCTAAGTAAAAATAAAAAGTCACTGCTCCTTGCCACTATGCAGCAGAACTGTGAGTCAGATTCAAAAAGAAATTCAATCTGTCACACTCCATTCCATGCAGCTAGACATCAGTTCTTATGATGCATATAAATTCAATTCCAACTAACATAAGCAGTTTGGCAGCTTTTTCCTAGGTAAATGTTAGTAAACAAGTCAAATAGCTTCCAAATGCAGTGGCAAGGTATAAGTTAACTTCCAAATTCCAAGTATTTGATTCCTTTTTCAAGAGTGTTTGACCAGCTTAATGTTGAAGCTTATTACACATGCTGCCATTGTTGTGCATTTGGAAAATCGGATGGCAAATTTCCTCCACAGCTCCATCATCCTTGGATCAACCAATCATGTTAAAAGAAATAAGACTCTTCCACCCTTCGTGTATAAATAACAGGAAACTTTGCTTTTCATTTCCTTCGTGACACTAATAAACACTACAATTTGCGGTGTCTTAACTGTAAGTGCTTCCTTATCTGCTTGTAAATCACCTTGAATATTTTACTTCTCATAATTACGCTGTATGATACAGATAAAAAACTGACTCTTAAAAAATTTATCTAAACAGCTTACTTTTCTTATCCCTTTTTCTCCATTTAAACCAAAATTCAAAAAAAAAAAAAAATGGAACTTATAAGTTAGAACCGCTAAAACAGTAACTAAGAGCTCAAGCAAAGCCGTAAAAGATAGTACCTTTCAAATACATACAGTAACCATGAAAGTCAATGGCCTTCAGATATAGAGTAACCAAACAGGCAAAACACGAAAAGAAATAAATAAATTACAAAACAGGACAACAGAACCAAAACAAGTAAACGTATCACAAAAGAAACATCTAAATCTCTAATTATTAATCGATATTAAACTAAACCCCAGCTACAACAGCTAAAACTCAATTCCGAAAATTCAATAACCATGAATAAATTGACAACCCCAAAACACAAAAGTAAAAACCCAATTCAGGAACACCAAATTTTTTGGGGAAAAGAATGGAAACAAACCTTGGAGCTCCAGAGCCTATCACAAGAAGCAATACCGTGCCAAGCACGTGAAACAAGGAGAGATAGTGCAACGCTGCGCGCGTCAAGGTTGCTTAGTATCATCACCATAATGTCCCTACCAAAAACCTCCAGCGGGTCCCTTGCTACGACCTCTTCTTTATCTTCTTCGTCTTCTTCATTTCCTTGTTCTAGCTTCTGATTTTCTGGGTCTTTTTCTTTCTTCCTCTTCCTCTTCCGTTCCTTCTTCAACCTCCTTTCTCCTGCCTCTTCACCCACACCACTCCAAAGCTTTTCTTCAGTCTCCATACAAAAGAGTGAAAGCCTCGTCAGTGATGGGACAGTTTGCTTGGGATAGAGAGAAATGACGTGTTTTGTTTTTTGTGAGAGATTGGAAGAATGGTGAGAGAGGGGAAGAGAAAGAAAGCATGTGAATCCTGCAATGTGCACGCAACGGGGGATGATATCAGATAAGACTTGGATTCTGTGAGCCGACGGCATCGGAGGTTGACACGTGGACAATAAATTTTCTACATTCGGGGCAAGTTGGATAGGACCCAAGTTTAGGTGGCAAACCTCCGAATCCTTAACGCATGTGATTTTTTTTTTTACTAGTTTGTTATTAATTAAAATTTATTATCAATAATTAAAATATAATCACAATGAAAAATTTTATTTGCTTGTATAACAAATTACCCTAGATTCGAAATAAATTCCTTTGGGGTATAATTGATTCTCACTTTTTAAGTTTGGTGTAGTTTCAAAATCAATGATTTAAATATAAAAATTCTTACTCAAATCATAAAATAATAAAAAATTAATTTACGAATTCTTGAATTGAAAAATTTTTATTGACAAAGAAAAATTTTCTACCATTATCCCAAAAAATTATTTTGTTATGTGCAATTTATGTTGTTAATTTTTGGACTTTAAAAAAAATATGTTAATATAAAAATTAAAATGATCAATATTTTAAAATGCAAATATAATATAGTAATAATAATTATAATTTTTTTTTCACTTTTCATTTAGTATAAAGATGATATTAAAAAAAAATAACACTTACACTTAAAAAATCGTTATCACGAAGTTCCATATATTCAAAACTTAAAAAAAAAAAATGATGAAGTCAATGACTTATCAATTATTTGCCACCTAAATAAGATCTTCACAAAATTAAGATCAACACGTAGCACAAAGAATCTGGCAAATGAAATCCATATTATCTATTAATGACATAAAACCAATTTTTTATTCAATTATTTTTCTTGGCTTAACAAAAAAAAAAATCCCCAAATGCAGCTTTAACATTTAAAAAATGTGATATTTATAAAAACATAATAAAAAACACGAAAATAATTAAGAAATGTGAAGCAAATAAAATAAGCATTAGAAATAAATAATAATGTTAGATGACAAACGTAACTCAAAAAAAGAATTTAAATATCTCAACTAAATTGCAATCGTGATCAACGCTTTAAAAAAAATTAAAAATAATTAAGAAATTTATGCTACAAAAAGAATTTAACTGAAAATAATATACTTGTTATGAGATTATTAAAAGTGGAAATATATATTTCACATCTAACAAGTACTTCAGTGCAAGCTAAACTACAGATTAAGAGCAATAGACATTAGATAACAATTATTAACTAACCTAAATATGTGAAATCTTTAATTATTAAGTAGATTTAAATAAATAAATGGTATAATAGGTGATATTTAATATGTTTGAATTTAAAAAAGAATCAAATATTAAAATATTAAAGGATTAATACGAAATTTATAAATAGTAAAAATTATATATGACATTTTTAAATTTAAATAAGATATATATTATTGAAAAATCCATTTTAAAAGAGATATATCTAAATTATATTTTATTGTCAATATTTTAATATTTAATGCTCTTTTCAAAGCTTTAACTCATATCTCCTATTTGAACATATTGCCACCATAAAATTATCAATTTTATGATAAGTTTAATTGCATAGTGCTTAAAATAAATTGACACAGATAATTAATCCAAATAGTTAAAGTAATATATGGAGAAATAATTAAAAAAAATAGTAAAACCACAATGATTTGATCGAAAAATATATGATGTTTAAATGTTAGTATTTGAATTTTGTATTTAATATATTTGGTGATAAGAGTAAGTTGAGATATTTTTTATATAATTTAAATTAAGATAAAGTTTATCTATAAATTAAAAGATTTGAATAAAGTTAATTTTTAAAATTTTAAAATTTTTTAACATTGAATAATTGATTGAATAAAATTACTTGATAAATAATTGAAAATGTGCTTATTTGGTTGCATATTTAAAACTATCTTATGAGTAATCAAAATAAGTTATACATATAAGACTACCACGTAAGCAATTCTTATTAGGTAACCTTATATGTTGTAATATGTTAACTCAAGTGTAGATAACAATCCAAAAGGGATGAATTAGATTGTCTCTAAATTCTTTTTCAAAATTAACTTTCAATGCATTTGAATGAAAAATTTAAAACAATAAAATCTTTGATGGAAATTTGATGAGATTAATAATAATGGAAATTTGATGAGATTAACAATAATAAAGAAAACTAAAGCACATATAAAAAAAAATGAAATAAAAAAGTAAGGATAGAAAAATCAAATACAAAGATTTATAAAGGTTCAGTTATTCTCTAAAAGCATCTATATCTTCTCCATTGACTCTTTTAGACAAGCTCAATCCACTAATTGAATTGCAAAATGCTATCCCTATCTTTCAAGGTCAAGATAGCAATCTCTATCTTTTTTAGGATTTTTCCAAATCTTATCTATTTCACTGAAGAAAATACATCATCTTTTAACTCAAAAATTCTTTTTGAATACAAAAGAATTTGCAAACTATGAAAAACCTCTCAAAGGTTAAATGTTTGCCTAATTTAAGTACAAAGAATAATAAATAAAAAACAGATATAATTTAGATACAAGAATGGGAAGAATTAACTCTAATATTTAAAATGCTCTTGAATTCTTGAGATAATAAATGTAAGGCTAGTTGGTGCTTACTTTCTTGCTTCATAAGGGCATTGGATGCCCAATTTATAGAAGAAATGAGTTTGTTGCTGTTGGGAATTGATTGATAAGAAAATGCCCATTGTTTTCTTGAAAAGCTAAACTATTAAGGCTATTTGGGCTAAAATCAATTGATATATTTTTGGAGGGGATCAAATCATTTTGAAAACTAATCAATCCATTTTTAGAAGGGATTAATCGATTTTGACAGTTTTGAAATCAAATTGCTTTTTGTATAAAAAATCAATCGATCCTTTTTCATAAGAGATGGATCTATATTGGTTAGTTTTAAAGCCAATCGATCCATTTTTGTAATTTTCAAAATTGAAACCATTCTAAATAAAAAATCAATAGATCCATTTTTAAGGGATCAATCCATTTGCTAAAAACTAATCAATCCATTTTTAAAAGGATCGATTCATTTTAAGGTCTTACCAAAACTTCTTGCTTTTATGTAAAGAGGATCAATCCTATCCATAAAGGACCAATCATTCTTTCACAAATTTGTATAAAACCTATTTTTAATGACGAAAGAAGTTTGTTTTTGGTCTCAAATCATTTTTCATTTAAAAAATTACTGGTAAAATTTTCTTTTTAAGTTCAAAGCATTTTTTCAAGAATTTTTCAAATCAAATATCACTTTGAAAAATATATTATTTACTTAGTACCAAAAATAATAATAAAACATAATTTTGTCATTTCAAAATAAGGATAAAATTAAGGCTAACATAATATAATATATGATATATATGATTTGAAGGTTTTAAAAGTTAAATTTTGATAATTAAAATTAAAAATTATTGGAGTTTCATATATCTCATTTATACTGAGATACAAGTTTTTTTTTTTTTAGAGATAATAAACTGGTCGATTCGAAAGATTCGAATTAAAAAATTATTTTTAGACTTTTAAAAATAAAATTTATATATTTGGCATTTTTGGATTTTTTTAAAATTTCGAATAAAGAAAAAAATGAATGCACTTATTATTAAATTAAACGTAAAATATTTACCAAAAATAATGTTATTTATCAAACTCTTAGTTTTTTTTATAATTCTTTTAACATAGTTTTTTTTTAATAATCTTAAATATAAAATAAATTTTTAATATTTTATTAAGTGCTAATTTATATAAAGGTTTTTTTGTAGAATTTTTTGTTTACTTAAAAGCCTTAAATATAAAATAAATTAAAGTTAAGATTTCTTTTTGGGAACTTTACTATGAGCTAAGATTGATAGATTTACTTATATTAAATAAGTAGATTAGTCATATATATATATATATTACAATTTATATGAAAACCTAATAAGAAATGTCTAGTAAACATCTACGTGGATAACTTACATTTTTTATTCATAAGATCTTATAAATAATTAAAAAATTTACATTATTTATCAAATAATCCTATCCAATCAATTTTTAATGTTTCAAAATTACCATCCAATCAATTATCCAAGGTTTCAAGATTATCAAAATTAACTTTATCGAAGTCTTTTAACCCATATATTCTTTATCTTTGTCATAACAATTTTGTCCAAAAATTCGATTGCTTGACAATTTTAAAATTATAAAAAATCATCATTTTTTTTCTAAATGTGATTAGTCACTTAAAGAGTCTTACATTTTTAATAAAATATTAAAGTTAATTAAGATTTATAAAAAGATAAATTTTTTGTTTGCAAAAATAATTTGGATTCGAGTGTATAATTACACGTGGAGAATGATTAACATCCTTTAACACGTGTCTTAAAACCAATACCAATTAATCATATACTATACTTTTAACTTTGATTTTAAAATAATCTTAATTTTGATATTAACAAATAATTTTATTGATTTATTTCATTTCAAACAAATAAAAAACTTTTTTTTATCAATCTTATTTAATTTTCCTCATTTTTAATTTTTTTAGTTTTATTTTGTATTTAAAGAACGAGCAAGAATCCTTTAATATTTTGATAATGTCGAGTGAAATTTTCTTACTTAAAAATTTCTTAATAATCACTACTAGAATTTTTTTATAATCGCATTCTCGAAGGCTTGTGTTCACTATCATAATTAACATACATTTAGAAAATGCAAATATGAAACATGAAATTATGTATTAATTGATGTAATTTTATTTTTTAGAAAATACATTTTTCATGGTTAAATTAAAAACAAAATGGAAGCATTTTGTATTGAATATTTTTTAAATATGCTAATATGTTAGTGACATTTTAGAAAAATCTTGTCACTTAAGATTTTCTTAAGAATCATTATTTCACTTTCATAAAATCTTGTCATCGAAGGCTTTTATTCATTTTCAAAATTTAACATGAACACATAAGATTAAAATAGAATATGATGCTTATGACTAATTTATATTATTTTATTTAATATCTTTTTAAATACCCTAATATTTCAATGTCATTTTAGAAAAAAATTTTCATTTAAAAATTTTTTAATTAGGAATAACTACTCATACTTTTTTAAAATTTCATCATTAGAGATTCATG